GGGGGGGGGGGGGGTTGATTTTATGAATGAGCCGTAATTATGACATTGGAGATAATTAATGGAACAAGCAAAACTGTAAATAATTTTTGTAAAACTATTTTTACATTTAAATCGTGTTTAATTCAAATTCAACAATTTATGTTTTTATGTGTTTTAGTTTATCATTTTTAATCCACTTTTTTTTTTTGATCAAGACTTTGTGATGGTAAATATGACGTTGGATCTCATTAATGAAACAAGCAGAACTGTAAACTGTAAGTCATTTGTAAAACTATTCTGACATTAAATCTTGTTTAAATGAAATGCACCAATTTATATTTGTTTTTTATTTTAGTCTATAATTTCTATTTCTTTTTTTTTCTTTTTTTTGACTTTTTGAATAAGCTGTAATTACGACATATCTCAATAATTAAACAAGCAGAACTGTAAATCATTTAAAAACTGGCCTAATGGTTAGAGAGTCGGACTCGTAACCCAAAGGTTGCGGGTTCGAGTCTCGTACCGGCAGGGATTGTAGGTGGGGGGAGTGAATGTACAGCGCTCTCTCCCACCTTCAATACCACGACTGAGGTGCCCTTGAGCAAGGCACCGAACCCCCAACTGCTCCCCGGGCGCCGCAGCATAAATGGCTGCCCACTTCTCCGGGTGTGTGTTCACGGTGTGTGTGTGTGTTCACTGCTGTGTGTGTGCACTTTGGATGGGATAAATGCAGAACACTAATTCCGAGTATGGGTCACCATACTTGGCCACATGTCACGTCACTTTCACTTTAATAAAAATGAAACTATTTACATACTTCCAATTAAATTTGAGCATCTGTTCCAAGGTCTGTAAGCACAGTGGTGACACTGGCTATCATTTATAATAGCACACAGTAATTGTTTCTCGTCTCTCCGGTAAATAAAGGCCTTCGGTTGTCAGGTTTGCTTAACCCAGTTCACCTCACCCTGCACACATCCACAGCCAGCCTTAGTGACGTTCGACTTCAAATTTCAATTTCATTCAGTAGCCACATATATTGTTGAGTGGTTAGCTTGTAACCAGCTTTCTTTTTTCACATTTTTGCATGTTTTTGTTCACATAGATGCTGTAATGAAGCATTCTGTGCTGATCATCTGAACTTCTGTGTTTTGCTTATCTTCTAAATGTAGCTGTTCTTCTGAGCTGATTTTTCTCTGCACTGCCTTTTTTTTTTTCTTCTTCTGTTGATTGTCTGTGCAATCATTATCTTTGCCAGTGTTAATTGCTCTCTTGGCTTTCCATCAGAGAGAAAACTGGCATCTAATTTTCCTAAGCTGCTACTCTCAGCGCCAGTGCTTTGCAAAAGATGTTTCCTCTTTCTATTCATCCACACTTCCATGTAAATCAGTGAAAATCATATCATGATCTCTATCCTCAGTATCACTTATATAATATCATGTCTTATATAATGGTAACGTTTATGTCGGTGTGTGTTCACAGGTGGTTCTTCGGGAGAATCCCCAGGGCCAGAGCGGAGGAGATCCTAAACAAACAGAGGCACGACGGAGCCTTCCTCATTAGAGAGAGCGAGAGCGCGCCTGGAGACTTCTCCCTGTCCGTCAAGTATGTTGACACGCATTAAATCCACCTCTCCTTATTCCCAGAATAACTGCTGTGTGCACGCAAGGCTTCATCAAGTCAGAGTCCTCACCTGCCCAAGATCCAGCTCATGAGGCATTCACATAGAGAGGGCTTCAGGTTCTACACCACATGTGTCAAACTCCAAGGCCCGCGGGCCTATTCCGGCCCGCCACATCATTTTATGTGGCCCTCGAGAGCATTGTCTTAAAATAAAAATCTATGCAGCTTTATATCGTAAATTATGAAAGTCCGTACCAATACCACAAGTTTCTGTTTCTATTTGGCGTTCTATTTATATGCAGAAATTGACTGTGGTGTGCATATGATACGCAATGGTTAGGATTAGGGGTGTAGGGTTTTTCTGTTGATGATGACTGCGTGGAAGGCTCAAAGGAATAAAGCGGACCTCATCAAGTGCTTGAGCACCACCGTAAAAACACGATATTCTCCTTTCATTTAACGAATTAAAAAAAAATCGATTGCAGCTTTCAGACACGACTTTCTTCTCGTTTTAATAGTTCGTTTGAGACGGTTTCTATGGAGTTATGTTAATGACAAATGTCCAGAGCGCATATTGCCTATGCGAGAGCGCATCAAATGCGCGAGCGCAAATCTCTCTGCTCGCAGGTGGATTCCCATTCATTCACTCTCACAGAAAACAGACGTGCTCTCTTATCGGTCAGACATTACATGTGTGCGCTCAAAAATCTTCTCTCCCGAGTTTAATAAACGCAACCTGGAGTGTGGGCATCCACCGGCAGAAAATTGGCGCATATATGCCAACGATGTAAATCAGTAGCCTATTTACATAGCATAACAGTAATAAATGTATCTGTTTCGCACAGGTCCCGCATTGTCCCGTAAAATCACATCTACTGTCCTGCAATAGCCAGGTGGTCACCCTAGCGTAGAGTAATAAAATAATAATTACTAATTTAAATCAGTAAATTTTAATGAAAACAATACATTATAAAAATTAAAAGAAGCAGGTCTTTTGCGATCAGATAAACCAGTAAACTCCTAAGAAAGTCTAAGAATCCAGTAAGTGAATGCATTCAAACAGTCAGTTCAAAACAGCGCTAATGCAGAGAAAACACGGCCGATGTCACCAGAGATGGCGGAGATAATAGTACTCGCAGATTGACTTGTGCAATGCTGTAAACTACTAAATGTAATGTAGAAATGTTCATTTTTTGTGAAGCTGCTTCGCAACAGTGTATCTATCATGAAAAGTGCTATACAAATAAACATGAATTGAATTGCAAACAATTATTAATGAATTTATTTATTTATTGTGGCACTATATACATTCATTGCGAATTATGAAAATTAAAAAGTACTTTTTTAGTACTTTAGTTTGTATTTATTTATTTTTGGGTGGGGGAGTGGGGTTGAGTACCAGCACCTCTTTTTTTTTTTCTACTACAAGCATTGATTGTGTATCATATGCACACCAAACACGTGCGTATCATATGCACGCCAAAGTAAATTTCTGTAAATCGCATGCATGCCAAATAGAAACAGAAAATCGTGCTATTGATACAAATTTTCATGAGACCGGACTCATGCCATATCTGTCACACGTTCTTAGCAGCTCACAATTATTTGTTGTGCCATAAATGTAACAAAAAAA